AAGAAGAAGAAAGAGGTTGATATGGTTGATTTTTTTCTACAGGGTTTTTGTTCATTGATATCAAGCTCCGGATCCCATGATCCGAATAGAATGCGTTCAAGCTCTAGGGCAGTGCATGAATCAACTTCCTGATCATTTCCAAAAGAAAACAATCTAGGACCAATGCAACATTTCACTGCCCAATTTAAATCAAGATTTTTAGGAAATTGCAATAGGAGAACATGAAATCAATACAAGATGTTTAGCTATTGAAATCTTGACAATTGTGGATTCACATGCAGGAGTTTTAGAAAGTTTACAAAGAAATCAATTGATGAAATTAATCTTTGATCAAGAAACCCGAGTAAGGAAATTGATTAGTAAATTTTTTAAAAACTTTTTGAAGAAGTTTATGATTCTAAACAAATGAAAATTGGAACTAATAGTTTAAGATACCCTAAAAATTTAAAGGAAGTAAAGATGTTGGTAGTAGTATGGAAAGTTAAATTGAAATTGAAAAAACAAAAATTGTAACAAAAACAAAAAGAAAAAGAAGGAATTACCACCAAAGAAGATAATGATGATGATGAAGTTGAAGGAGATGATGATGATCTTAATGGAATCAAATGGATTGAGAATTCTTATAAAATTGAAATTAAGAATTGATAGATATGATTTCAAGGTTTAAAGATAGGTTTTTGGAATTAATGAAAGAATTTGCTATTGATCCTGAATGTGTTGCTTGTGATAAAATTAAGAGAGCAGTTGAGTTTTTGAATATCATATTTTCTTCTCATGTCTCAATTAAGGACTGATGGATTGGGGTTTTTCCCTACTGATCTTTCTGATTCTTACTCATAGGCTTTGATTCATATGTTGAATATTTATTTGATATCTTATGGTACTTCAATGCCAGATCAATTGAGGATTGATTGTAATCAACAAACTCAATTTTGTTGTGCTGGATTCATTGCAGCTGAGATTGAACAGTTGGGGAATGAAATGAAAGAGAAACAATATGAAAAACAAAGGATGATGAGCAATTTGGATGGAGAAGATGATGATGATGATGATGAAGAGGAAGTTAATGCATGTGCCAAAAAAGGTAAGGAAAAGGAAAAGAAATTGTGTCAAGTAGCTTGTGAAAGAATGTGTAAGTGGAAGTTTTTTTTAGGAATTTGAATTTGAAAGATTTGAAACTGAGAAAATTTTTGTATAGATTGATTTACAAGTTTTAGAGAAATCAGAAATCAAGAAGAATTTGAATTAATCACCACAAGTTTTACCAAATCAACATGTTGTGGTATAATCAAATTTGAGCATTTGAATTTTCAACACTTCAAACTATTTGTCAATTTCAAACCAAGTCACTTAATTTCACTCAATCACTGATATTCATTTGTTTTGTTGTGTATGAATAGATCAGAAAATCTCCATGAAATTAAACAATTTATCATCTAAAAACCAATTGATTTGGGTTATAGAATGATTTGGTTTCCATTGCCTAATTTAGTTGCAAACCAACCTATTTTTGGCATGGCAAATATCAACCTTTTGAATTGGTTTTATGTATGACTGATCTAATTCATGAGTTTTTTTGGTTCTTTTGTAAACTGTTCAAGTTTCTTCGAGAGCTGATTTCCACTATTTGGGTGGATTCTGTAAGGTCTATAGTTATTCACATAGATTTGAAATAAATATCAATGTTTATAAGAGTTAAGTTGATCATCACAACAAAAGAAACAGAATTGGAGGCCGATTTATGTAAATTCCTCATCACCTTTCCATTGCCAAAAAGTTATGAGAAGTAGTGTTTCCATAGGTGATCATGTTTGAACATCAAAGATCATAGGACTTGAAATGCAAGACAAAGCATCATATCATCCAAGATATGAGGAATCATTAATCAGGCTTGAAAGTAAGTTTGATAATGAAACAATAAAAGTGAGTCTAAATAAATTGCTAGCTTTGTTTTCTAGCATTGTCTCAAAAACTTCAACCAAGTCAGAGCACAAAATTCTACAAAGTTTTATCTATGAACAACTTGGGCCCATTTGAGTCAAAACCAATCACTCATTTTGACCAACTATCTTTGAGATAATCCAACTTCAATATAATTGTGTAACATGTAGATTCTATCCAAGGAGATAGAGATAACTTTTTATCACTTGAAATTTCAAATGTCAACCAAGTTCAAAACAGATGTCCAGTCATTTAGCAACAATCAAATCTCAACTGAATATTTCAATCAATTAACCTGTGTTGTCTGGAAAAATTCAAAACTAATGATTAGCAACTTACTTCACTACAATTTTGGTGATATAATCAATTCTTAGTTGAATAATCTCAATCTAATCCCTTACCATCTCATTGAAACCACTAAATGAGTAAACCTATTTGCTGATTAAGCTCAGAACACCCAATTGCCACCTAACACAATCAACTCACCCTCAGTAGAAATGCCATCACTCATATCAATGATTCATTATACTCACATCTTGGCCAATGATCAATCAAAGCCAATTTCACATCAATACACATCCATTGGATCAAAGTCTGGGTAGGTCTGTGTAGTCAAACTTTTACCTGATTGCTGTAAGGAGTATACACAACAAGTAGTCATGGGTTTGGGATCATGGGATTAGATAGACACCTCCTTACCTTTCTCTTCCAGCGCCCGGCTTTGGAAAGTCCTCACTCCTCAGAGAGCTTATTGGGTGACTTTCCGGAGCTCAATCGCAATTTATACCAAAGTTCCAAGTCCGTTTGCTCTCTTGAGAAGTCGTGCCGGACGTGTTTCCGGACCCTCAGTGAAGGTTCTTAAAGAACCTTACAATTGCTACACAATAGAAATCTCAGCAAAAGTGTCTTGATAACAAACAATCTTCAAAGAACTTTTTTGAGAGATCACCTCTTGACCTCCTGAGATCATTTTACACCATTTGTTTGGTTCTCTGTTCCCTCTGGAAAGTTCAATGATGCGGCGCCCGCCGCTGATAGGGCTAGTAAGATTTCTAATTGAATTACAATTGAGATTAATTTGAGATAAGTATCATAAAATTTTGATTGCTTGAAATGTGTTTGAATCACAATATGGCTGAATTGGATTAGTTGAATAATCAGTATCAGTACAATTTTGAAGTTGTGAAAAGAATAAAGGGATCAGCCAAGCTGGGGGTTTGAACTTGGTTAGGGTTTCTGTTAGTTGGGAATGGATGTTGAGTGTTTCTCCTCAATGGAATGATGATCTTGTAAGTCATTTTTACATTTATCAAAAACAAATTCTGATAATTCAAATTTTGGGTTTAATTTCATGTTGAATTTTTTGATGAAATCAAATTGAGAACAAACTTCATCTTTGGAAGTTTCACAGGAGTTGAATGAAATAATTGAAAGGATTGGATTTAATGGAAGTTGTGAGTTGATTTTTGATCCCTTCATTGAAAAAGTTGAAACCTTTCCAGAAAGTTGTAAAGCTTGAGCAGATAAAGATTGAAGTAGAGTTCTTTCATCAGAGCTTAAACCCCATATTTGGAAGTAAGTTATCAAAAATTGGTTTCCATACAATTTTGAAATAGAGGACAATATTTAAAACTTTGAGTCCGGATTTTCGAGCTTTTTTTGTTTTTGTTTTTTCATTTGTTTCATTTTTGGATGAAGGTATGTAGAGCTCAATACTACCCAGAAGAAGAAGAACGTTGACAAAAATTGAACTGATCACCCGAATTCATCAAACCATCTACAACCTGGACTCATTCAATTGAATCAATCAGTACATCAATTCATAAAAGAAAACAAGAATCATACCTGGAGATCAGTCAAGAATGGATAAAACTAAACTGGATTGGAATCAGATCTACAATTTTGTATGGAGTTCATCAATCAAAGTTTGATTTTGAAAAATGTTGGATTAATGTGGTAAAAGAAAACATGAAGGTTTGTGAAATCAGTTGGCAATGATTATTTGATGCCATTCATTTTTTATCTTTGTAAATTATTTCACATAATGAAGGTGAAAAGAAATTGAATATGATTGCCTGGGAAGTTTGTTTTGATGAAGAACAAGTCATGGATGATGAAATTAACAGAAAGGAGTTGCAGATGGATGGGAATGGGTTGGGTATAGATGAATTTTGTGATGTTTTAAGAAGAAGACCTGAGTGTTGGAGGTGAGTAAAAAAATGAAGATTGGTCTCTTTGTATGATCATTGTGTTTTTTCTTTTGTAAAGTTTGGAAGAGGTTATCAACTTTTTGAATTATGATTATGTTGAGGATTTTTTAGTTTTGTAATTCAAAAGTTTGTTACATATTATATGCCTGAGTTGAATAAGAATAAGAACAAGCAGACAACAAAAGTATTGAACCCACAAATTGTAGATAGAAGTCTTGGATATATTTTGGTTACAAAAAACCAAGATAGAGACTCTCCATAGGGAGTGTTGATTGTAAATGTTTGTTACCCCAATTGGTTTAGACAAGCACTTGCACAAACAATACCTCTTCAGCTCAGTCGGCTGGCCCCAAACACATACCTGTCTGAGTCAATTGGTGTTGTGTCTTGCCTGCAAATGCTTGCACACATTATTCTGCCTCTTCATGTAAATATGATTTCATGATACTGTTTTGTCAGTCACTCGGTCAACATTTACAGTGTTCACTAGATCTTAGTATGTGAAGATACTATGTCCGCAATGTGTTCATTTGAGTATGATGAGGTGGGTGTGTCATTTTGGAAGCCACTTTACAATCCGTAATGGACAAAAAATGATGGGATTGGGACTTGGTCAAACACTGGTAATATTTTTCTACATAAGAAGAATGACAGGGGATCAGGCTAATGTAAGACTTTGATGCGGCGCCCGCCGCCCAGTTGTGCTAGTGTCTACTTATAAGTATCTTGACAAATATGCTGTTTCCTCAAATTTGCCACAACTAAATGTTCCAGGACAAGACGGACATGAGATTCAACAAGTGGGACTGTGCCTTTGAGTGACTACAAAGTTAGTTCTTTCCCAGTGATCTATTTGGAAACTGCGGCAATAAAAGAAGCGCTATGAGTATTGAGAACATTTGCGTTGATGTGTTGGGAATTCTTACCTATGAACAGTTGATAGACGGCAACTTACAATGCACTTTGGAAGTGCTGAGGTGGAAGATGTGTAGGTCAGATTGAGAGAATCAGTATGTAGATGAGAATGGAAGAAGCTTACTTGATGGCTTGGGTTGTTGAACAGAAAAAATTCAACTTGATCTTGGGCAATGTCGCCATCCGCATCAGGCACGCCCAATATGAAGTGTTGGTAGATGTTGATGAGGGAAAACTTGTTGACATGGGACAGGATGAATAGGTCAGGGATGTGCCCTTGTAGGGCAAAGCGTAATTCGTCCTTTGTTTGGCCTGGAAGTTCGGAAGCCTCGAGCACAGGAGGAATAGCAGAGAAATGTGGACAACAGGCGGGGGCTGTGTGTACATAGCATTTGAAGAGTTCAATTAAATCTGGTTTCTTGATCAAATTCAAAGGAGCAAGTGCTTTGTTGGGAGATTTGTGTTGGATTGCAGCATGAAGGACCTTCTTAGTGCTGGTGCGATGGTTAGGATCAAACGAATGGTCAAAAGCATGGGCGTATTTGTTGAAGTGAAGCGCCCTAGTAGACCCGTTGGCACGTGAGGGTGAGGAAACTGGGGTTGCACTCAAACTGTTGATGACTGAAGAGTGCTGCCTGATGACCGGTGAGACGTGTTGATAGAAAAGATTCTTGAGGGCTGCTTTTGCAAGGGATGAAGTCTTCACATTGGGTTCAAAATGATTGATGACTTGTTCAATCAGAGCCTTGGTGGTTGATCTAGCATCCAAGTTGACATTGGGTTCCAGAAAGAATTTCAAGCGAATTCGGAGACATTGGAACTTGCGCTTGATAACAGAGTCGTGGTTTGCAGTGGCAAAGGATGTCTGAGGCAAAGTGGGGGTACCGGGGGGTGTGGAACTCATAAGAGTTTCTGGGCTGTTGGTGTTTGAAGAGACATGGGGGTAGCTTTGAGGTGTAGTGTGACCACGTGCGGAAGGCATGATGGCCTCTGTGATACAAAAAATGTGTCAGCTAAAGAAGGAATGTCAAGACAAGGATGCAATAATGGACAGGCACACACAAGGCCTTGTGAAATTGGTCAAGCTTGTGTGGATGTTGGGGTACGGAATGCGAGATGTGTCAAGGTGACAATGCAAAAATCAAAAAACAAAAATCACAATTCCCGGGTGCGAAAATCAAAAATCAAAGACAAAACTACAGAAAATACTCAAATACAGGGCAAAAACCCCTGTACTGGAGTAAAAGTCATGGCAGAAACCCCTTTCAGACCAGGTTACAGCCCAAATTTCAGTAGATTTACAACTTGAAACTCAACATTTGTCACCGCATTGTTGCATTGACACAAAAAGTACCAGGAAAGCCACAAAAGAGGAAATCAAAATTCAAAAAACAAAAAAACAAAAGTTGAAAATCAAGAAAAAAATGTCGATAATCAAAAAACGACAATTAACAAACCATAAACAAGGACCCCAAAGATGAAAACTTCACATTAGATGATGGAAAGTGTACAAACCACCTCTCGACCTCTCTACCTCTCAACCAATCACACAACCCACACACCATCACCAATCATCTTAGTCATTCTTCCAACTTTTGTCATAGTCACCACCCATCCACTTGTTCAACAAAACCTACACTACACTGAACTTCTTTGATCGTCTCCACTCTTCTTCATCTTTGACCGTCTTCACCTTTCTTCTTCAATCTTCTTGGATTGGCTTCAATCCTCTGTAATCTTCTTTTACCAGCGTCAATCTTCCTTAGTATTCTTCAATCGGCTTCAATCTTATGTAATCTTCTTTGATCGTCTTCACTCTTCTTCATCCTTCTTTGATCGGCTTCAATCTTCTTGAGTATTCTTCGATCGGCTTCAATCTTCTTGAGTATTCTTCAATCGGCTTCAATCTTCTTGAGTATTCTTCGATCAGCTTCAATCTTCTTCTTTAGTATTCTTCAATTGGCTTCAATTGGCTCCAATCTTCTTCAATCTTCTTTGATTGCCTTCCATCTTATTTGATCAGCTTCAATCTTCTTTGTTTTTTTTTTCTCAGAGCTTTGTCTTTCAACATCATGAACCGTCCCAATTGTCCCTTGTGTCAAAATACTCTCTGTCAAGGCAGACAGCAAATATGTGAACCGTGCCTTGAAAACATCAATGCGGACCAAAACAAAATAGTTCCTCAATCTTCTCAACCCCGTCAGGCCCAACCCAATCTTCCCAACCCCGCCCTGCCAACCTCAAGGTCATCAATGCCAAAGCAGTGCTACAAGAGAATGTGCTTATATCCTGGAAGAAGTACTTGACATTACACAATACCGCAAGTATACCAGCAATCACAACTTTGAACTCTGTGATTCTGATATTCCTTTGGTCAATGAGGTGATGCAAGGTCTCAGTCATTGGTCTCATAAACACTATGACGGAAGAATAAAGGTTGCGGATCTTCAGGGGGTGGGTTTGGTATTGACAGTCACAGTCCTCTGGCAAGCCAAACCGGCCTTTGATTTTTGCTTTGATTCTTTGACTGACATGTTCTCTTCCAACATCCCGGACTGGATCCCGTTGGGCATTGTGTTGTTGAGCCTTCTTCCGCTTTTGGTACTTGACCAACTTTTGCTTGCAGAGGTCTGATACTGGTTTTGGCATCTACGGAAAAAAACATTGTTTTGATTAGTGGTATGTTCAACACTTCAAGATTTTGGAATTTGTGTGGGGATGCCGTGAAATAATGATCAAAGTGAATAAACATTGAGTGATTGAATATTTGATGGATTGAATGTTTGATTTGGGAAATGAATCAATGTGAGATTTTATGAATGATTGATTGATTGAATGAGTATTGAGTAATTTCTTGAGGATTGAAATCAGGAAGCACCGAGATACATTTAGCAAAGGGTTAGGCTGGTATTTGGGGGTCCCCTCGGTCACTTGCCCTGCCCTTCACAAGACATAAGCATCTCTGCATGTATCTCAAGTACTTCCGTCTTCCATGAGTCAATGTGAATAACCTTGAGCTGTAAATCTTTGGATATAAGTGAATTTGCATATGTGAATAATTGTTTGAAGGAATGATTGATAAACTAATTTCTTGAGGAGTTAAATCAGGAAGCACTGAGTTACATTTAGCAAAGGGTTAGGCTGGTAGTTGGGGGTCCCCTCGGTCACTTGCCCTGCCCTTCACGAGACATAAACATCTCTGCATGTATCTCAAGTACTTCCGTCTTCAATGATTGTTGGTGAGTAAATCATGAGTGGTAAATGTTTTGAATTATATGAGTCTTCTTTTGCGATGAATTGAACAGATGTTTGAGAAATATTGATTGATTTATTAATCTACATTCAATTATTATCGGCTTCTTGTGGATTCTTCAAGGTTCTATTTCTTCTTGAGGATATAATATTTGTTCTTATATGTTCTGTCTTCATCATGTTGAAGTGTAAGGAAGTAATGGGAAGACAAAGGAAGGAGCAAGATTACCTTGGTTGATTCAACAAATTGAAGGAAGCGGACAGTATGGTTTTCAGTAATAAGATCAGCAGAATCAGAGAACAAAGGACTGGTTAAATGCTTGCACTCGAATGGTGGCTGAGTTGTGGTCAGCCATCACACTGTGTATACACATGTAGCCTTACACATTACAGTTGATATGTCTACATATCTAACATGTAAACATATGGTTCACACAAAAGTTGCCCCACCAAAAGATTCATCACTCTTTGAAGGGAAAATCCCCAATTGGTTTTATAGCTTCTGTGATCAATCTTTCAATAATTTTATTTGTGAAGAAAAAAATTAGATTTGTAATACTGAAGTTCTATAGTCTCCAGCCGTACCGTTGAGTTTTTTGTCAAAAAATATCAAGTCACATCAGGATAAGAAAGTTTGGTCAGTGAGAATTTTTCAAATAGAGATAACTGTCATATAGGTTTAACACTCAAATTGTGGTCGTAGAAAACAAGTGACTTACCTTTTATAGAATCATGTATATTGTCAAGTGCACTGTACAAAACAACCAAGTCAGTCTTATGATAAAAATGTATGAGAGTGATAGTATAGATAATATAAAATGATTTACCAATGAGCTGAAGGTGTAGAAGTATCTTTTGATTTTCAAAACACATCATGATTTTCATCTTCTAGCCAACCTAATAAAAACCAATTCATCAGAAAAAAGAACTTTGACATATATAAGAAAAACTTAAGAAATTGGATAATTTAATCCTTAATAGAACTAACATCTACAGTTCGATAATGTAAATATTCTGCTGTATTTACATTTCTTTCTCCTTTTTAACATTCCAAATCATAATATAAAAAAATCGCCTCACCATTGCATGAT